ATCAGAGTGTAGCTCTCATGCCCTGCCTTTCCCCCAGCTTCCTAGGGGAGAGCTAGCCTGTGGCAGGGGCAGGATGGGGTTAGGGGAGAGCTAGCCTGTGGCAGGGGTGGGGTGGGGTGGGCTCCCGTCTTTTCCCTTGTACAGGTTTCCAGGTCCATCTGCCAAACTGAACTTTCTTTTAGCCCCGCTGTCTGCCAAACAGAGAAGAAATCACAGCATCCAAGAGCCCTGGACCCCTTGAGCTGGCTTTCTTTCTTTGGCCATGGCGTTGGTCTGCTGAGAAGCCAAGATCAAGTCGGAGAGGTGAACAGTGAGTCCTCAGGCTGAGGCACTCCGTCACTGCTCCTGGCTGCACACACTGCCTGGGTCCCTCCTCTGTCTCTCAGGCCAGAACTCAAGCTTCTTTAAGATCTACTGGGGCCACTCAAAGGGGCCCTTGGAAGGTCAGGGCTCTCAGGGAGGGATGGGGGTCTTGACTGGGGGTCACGTTCACTCAGGCTGATTCTTCCTTCATTTCCCCCTTCTCTGTCCACCCTCCCTTGTCCTTTCCTCTGTCCACCCATCCCATCCTGCCACGAGCACTTCGGAAGTTGCATGCTCCACTGCCAGCCAAGTCCCTGTGGTGCATTGGGAAAGCGCTGGAAATTCGTGAGTGTGGCCCACGGATCAACCTCACCTGGGAGCTGGTTAGAAACATGGGTTTCCAGACCTGGGCCAACACTGCTGAATGTGGAATCATTGGGGAGGCAGCTGTGTGTTCTTTCATAAGCCTCCAGCTAAAACTGAGACTTCGCAGTGGAGATCACAAGGAAGAAGAGGGGGCCAGCGTGGAGCTTCTCCAGGCCTCTGCCCTCACCTTCCTTCCTCCTCCGCATCGTCACGGGTTCTAACCCTCCACACACGTGGAGGATGTGTGCTCACAGATCCATCTAAACACTAGGGCCCCACCCTTTCTAGCTGCCTCCTGCTTTCTCTATCCCCAGTGTTGGTCCTTGCCTTCTATCTTGTTTGAGACAGGGTCTCTTGCTCACCCCTGCTGATTAACTGGCCTGAGAGTTTCTAGGGGAATTCTCCCATCTCACTCTCCCATCTTGTAGGAGTGCTGGAATTATGGACATGTGCTTCCTGCATCTTGCTTTCCATGGGTTCTGTGGACCCAAACACAGATCCTCACGCCTGTGTGGCCAGGGCTCTATCCATTGGGTTGTCTCTCCAGTCCTGTCCATGATCCTCTAATTCACCTTGTCATGATTTCCGTGACCCTTTATTTCATACTGGAACTATCACCAGCATAGCTGACACCCAAATACACCCTCCTTTTACAACCGAACCACTGCCGAATCCTGCCTCTCCTGGTCTCTTTGCCTTCTTATTCCTTCTTTCCCTAGGCTGGGGGGGTCCTCAATAGGGGACCGGAGGGTCTGTGAAGAGATTTCAGCAGTCCATGACATTCAGTGAGTGCAAGATGACATTGGATTTGGATTTGTGATTGCAATTAGACATTTCCATCAACTTTAGCTCAGGTCACGAAGAAGAGCTGGCCCAGCAGGCCCCGTGACACCATGGCAGAGAGAAATTCTGTATGCCTACATCCTTAGCAGGCTATCTACAGAATCTTTTTTCCCCCTCACTCAGTGTGGCTATGGAATTATAGGAGTTACCAACCCACCACTGGATGCGGCAATGACTTCACTGTCAATTTGGTCTTTAATATTTGGATTATGGCCACAGTATTAGTAGATGCTCTTCCAAGGGCCTTGACTTTAGTTTTTCTTGTGTGTTTGTGTGGCCTTTTGAGACAGGGTCTTGCTCTATAGCCCAGCACTTGGGAGTCTGATCTTGAGCACACAGCAACCCTCCAGGTTTAGCCCCCTGAGTGCTGGGGTCATGGGCATGTGCCACTATACCTAGTTGATTATATATGTTTCTAAGAAAATCATAGGCTTTCTCTGGGGCCAGAAGCTGAAGGGCTCAGTGCTCCAAAGACCCCGGGGTGCCACCCGTGTGCTTCAGCACTCCTGGGAGTTTCACAGCTCATGACTTATCATTTCCTATGAGGAATTCTTCCTGAACACCTCTCCATATCTACACAGGTTTCAGACAAGCATCTCTAAAACTGGATATGGTGAAGCACTGTAATTGAAAGCTTTCCTCTGTCCTGCCTGGTCACGTAGCTGCTTTTAAAATAATCACTCAGAGGCTTATATTAGTTACAAACTGTTTGGCCTATTGCTCAGGCTTATTACTAGCTAGCTTTTACATTTAAATTAACCCATTCCTATTTATCTATGTATTGCCACGTGGTCCATAGCTTACTGGTTCTTTCACATCTTGCTTTTCAGGCCATTCAAATTGTCTGCCCTGACTCCACCCTTATTCATCTCCTTCTTCGGTTTGAATGTCCTGCCTAACCTTATTCTGCCTCACCATTGGCCAAACAGCTTTATTTATCAACCAATGAAAGCAACACATATTCACAGCGTACAGGAAGACATCCCACAGCAAAGCACAACTATAATTCCAGCACTTGGAGGTAGACAAGAGGATGAGTAATTTAAGGGTATCCTCAGCTACCTAGTGAATTCAAGGCCAGCCTGGGCTACCTTGAGGTCCTGTCTTTTGAGACCATCTCAAAAACAAATGAGTAGAGAAACTAGCCAAACAACTAGCTTTCCCAGCACCCAGCACAGGCCTCTGAGTCCCACCTCTCTCCATGTCCGGGGAGCTCTCAGCCTGCTTCCATTTTGATCATGTCAGTGAATGGCCCCACCCAATCCTGAAGCCCCAGATCCAGACCTTAATCTTGACTTATTTTCTGTTCACCCCACACATCCTGCTATTAAGTCTGTCTGCTGAGATCCCAGTAAGAACTTCCAGTCTGTTCGCCTCCTCCCTCAGCTCCCCAGGGACACTACTAAGTGGCTGGCTGGGGCCCACCAGTGCCTAGGGTGCACAGAACACTGCCAGCTCTGCCCTAGACTCTTCTGCTCAGCATGCGCCTTCTGGAACCTGAGTCAGATGCAGACTCCAGGGCCCCAAGCTTCTACTCAGACAGTCAGCAGCAAGTTCATTTCTGAGTAGAGAACTTTCTAGACACCTCTCCACACTCAGAGCCAAAACTGCTTCTTCGACCCATGGTAGGTTCCAAGTTATAATCCACATACAGGAAACCCCAGGTTCCACAAGGCCTCCTTCATGTCTGCAGAGCCAGACTGAGGACTCGGGGTGAGTTAGGGCCCTCCTGAGTGATTAGGGCTCCCTAAAAGCAGACTCACTGATTTTCCCCAGTGGGCCTGTGACTGTAAGTAGCTGGGCGGGGCATAAGCCATCCACAGCTGGATCCTGTTACCCAGTCCACTAGCCCACCCACTGGCCTGGGCCCTTGGCAGATAATCCCAGCCAGATGGCCTGGTTCAGCCAGGCAGGGGTTCTGGATACCAACACCAATCCAGATAGGTAGCTGGGGCTGGCTGCAGGCCGAGGCACCAGCCAGTGGGTGTGGAAAGGAATCCTCTTGAGAACCTGACCCAGGCAGCGTTCTGCTGTCTTCCAGGCATTACTGCCCTTTAGGATCAGACCATCGGCACCTTTTCTAGCACCTTGGAGCAGCAAATTCTCATACCTGAGCTAGCAGTATCCCCTCTGCCCATGCATACTCCTTCACCTTCAAGTTCCAACTCTGCTGCATCCCGGTCTGTGGGCCCTGGCAGCGTTTTGCATGCTCCCGGGCCTCGCTTTCCAAATATGCTCTATGGAGGCAGTAAGTACATTTCTCTTTTGTGAGGAGGGCGTGTGGAAACGGCAGAGGAGAGGAGAGCAAGCCTCTCAGTAGGCAGAGACTAAGGAAGAAAGGAAGGGTCCTCCATGCAGACCTGGGTGTGTGGCTTCGGCGGCTGAGCAGGTCCAAATGTAGCCTGTTTTATTGCTGTGTTATCTATATAAATGGGTCTTAACTGGCAAATAGCTGAATAGCTGAGCCCCAGTCACCCCGTGGGCTCCACTCCACCAAGAGAAGGAACAAATGAGTCCTTAGTGTGCCCAACCATAGTGACCAGTTTCCAAAATGAAAAACACAGACTCAGTGTCTGCAAATGTGGGATTCCACCAAAGGGACATTTTAGCAAGTCATAATCTACATTCACCAGGCCTTGAGTGGGAGTGTGTGACTGCAAAGGGACATGAGAACTTTTAGGGATGCTGGCAATACCCTAGACCATGAGATGGCAGTACATGGATTTTCCTATATGTGGATTATGCCTCAATAAAAAAGAACCCCGCCAACACAAAGTTCTAGAAAGTGTCCTATATAAATATGTATTATAATTTGAACTGTTTTTCTTACATCAAGGTGGGACCTTGACTCTCAGGCACACATCCACTCAGGAGTTTTTGTTGAAACTCTTTCTTGCTAGGTACCGGCCCTGCCCTTGGTATAGGGCGTTGGGATGAGCAAAATCGACAAATATTCTGATTCCGAGGCTCCTGCTAGACAAACGAGTTGGCCTGTAGTAGTGATGTGCACCATGAACAAAACCAGGATGAACGTTCAAGGCAAGCTGGCCAGGGTCATCTGGGCTGAGAGGATGGGATCCCAGCAGTTGGAGGGAAGCCAGGGGGGAGGGGTTTCAGGTGGAGGAAAAGCAAGGACGAAGGCCCCGAGGTAGATGGGAGTGTGTGTGTGTGGGGTTGACAATCGAGATTGGCGACAGCAATAGACTCCATGAGTCTTTCAGGGGGAAAGGTGCATGAGGCTCAGGGTTCAGAAAGGCATCTGTTAGTAGAGAGGGGGGTCATGCCTTGCATCAATGGTGGCCATCCTCACCCTGTGGCTAGGTGGCCTCACACAAGTGTCTCCACCTCCCTGGGACACTTCATTTAAACAGTGACAACCACAGCTTCTACCTCCGGGGTTGCTGGGAGCACTGATGGTGGGGTAAACAGCTCGGGGGCGGTTGTGTAACCAGCAGGTGACAAACCCCAGTGCCTGTGTGTTACAGGTCCCCTCATGGCAATGCTGGCTGACAGCATGACTGAGTCCTATCACTGCTGTTTTAGAGAGGTGTTCCGGATGCATGTGAGTGAACGCAGCCATGGTCAAACACCATCAACAGTGTGGACTCGCTCCTGTCACGGTGGGAGGTCCACTCGTGTCACGGCGCGGCCCTACTCTTGGGGAAGGAAGATGCCTCGAGCCACAGTGACCAGCCCCTGGGGAGGAGTAACAACGGGGAGCAGCATCTTCTATTTGTACTACACATCTCATCTATGTTTGTATTTTAAAAGTATACGGAAAGGCCAGACAGCTCAGTGGGCGAAGGAGCTTGCAGCCAAGGCTGAGGACCTGACAGTGATCCCAGGAGCCCACATGGTAGAAGAGAACCTCCTCCTGCAAGCTACCCTCTGACCTCCACACATACCCTAAAATAAAGAAGTGTTGAAAGTGTAATGAGGACGAATACAGGTGTAATTAATGTATTTAGCAGCTAGCATATATGCCAGATAGTCTTCTGGTTCTTTAAGACAGAGTCTCACTCTGTAGCCCAGGCTGGCCTCAGACACGTGATCCTCCTGCCTCTGCCTCCTGAGTACTGGGATCACAGGGGTGCACCACCATGCTTGACACCACCAGGTATTCATTTTTTCCCCTCAAAGATTTATTTTATTTCTAAGTGTGTGTGTGTGTGTGTGTGTGTGTGTGTGTGTGTGTGTGTGTGTGTGTGTATGAGTGCAGGGGCCCACAGAGGCCAGAGGCATTGGATCCCTGTGAGCTGGAGTTCCAGGCAGTTGTGGACTGCCTGATATGGGTTCTGGGACTTGAACTCAGGTCCTTTTGGAGATCACCATGCACGTTGGTCCTCTGAGGCATCTCTCCAGCCCCTCCACGAGCTATTCTTCATCGATGTCCCTGGGCCCCCAAAGGATCTCTTAGTGGAATTCAGGGAATCTGCAGACTTGGTTTTAAAAAATGACCTCCCCCCCACCAATAATCTCTTGCCAAAGTGAGCTTTTCCAATGTGAGTGGAAATAGGCCAGGAGCGACCAGAGTGGTGGCCACTGTGCTCTGTCATCAGCAGAAATGACGGATATACTCACATGTCACACATCTGTGGGCATTACAATGTTCGTGTGCCCCCAGCTCCCAGTAATGGAAGGGACGTGAGTCCCTCCCTAGATCATCGTGTGCCTGTGGACATTGTGTCCAGAATGGAGTTGCTCTGTGCTAGGTCCCACTAGTCCAAGGAGGAATAGAGAAGCAGGACTGGGCTGTACCAGATAGTTCTGTTTGTAAGAACTCACAAGGCAATTTGTTTCCTTTGTCCTGAAACATTTCATGTTGTGTGTGTGTGTGTGTGTGTGTGTGTGTGTGTGTGTGTGTGTGTGTATGTGCCTGAGTGTGGAGGCCACAGGTTAACTCAGATGTTTCTCCTCAGGTACTTTTCTTTTCCTCTTTCTCTCCCTCTCTCCCTTCTTCCCTCCTTCCCTCTTTTTCCCCTCCCCCTCCCTCCCTCCCTCCCTCCCGCTCCCCATGCCCAGCATTTAAATGTGGTTCCTCAAGTCTTACAACAAAGCACTGTACAACCCATTTTCCAGCTGCCTTCCAGCCCTGCACATTCAATTTTTTTCCTTTTTAAAATTTTTATTTATTTTTATTTTTTAGTGCTGGGGGTGGAGGGGAACCTGGGCCTTGTGACAGGAGGTGAGCACGTTGCTACTGGTGTGCTCCCTCAGCCACTACATGCTGAACTCTTTAAAAGCCACATGCAGTCAGAAGCTATAGCAAGAACTGTACTCTGGAGCTAACGGCCAAGTGTGGTCCAGACCTCTGAGAATTGGGGGGGCGGAGCTTCAGCGGCTCCATGTATGTGTGTGTGTGTGTGTGTGTGTGTGTGTGTGTGTGTGTGTGTGTGTGTGTCGGTTTCAATGCACATGTCTGTAATTTTAACTCTTTAATACGCTTTTTTAAAGTCAGGGTCTCATGTAGCTCAGGCTGGCCTTGAACACCCAATTCCTCATGTCTCTACCTCCCAAGTGCTAGGATTACAGATGTGCTCCACATTAGGCTACACTTTTAACCTCTTTTTGAAGGCAGACATAAACACATGGTTCAAACTCCCAAGGAGCCAAGAGGAAGAGTGTGAATAGCAAGTCCCCCATCCCTGTCCAGCTGCAATCCCTCTTGCTGTGGCCACTGGGAGAGAGGTCCCAGTGGCCTTCCACGTTTACACCCCCTGCTCTCCGCTTACTCAGTACTTCTTTCCCGAGGGGAATGGCTGAGTTACAGGAATGCTCTGCCAGGCCATGCGCTGCAAGACCCCGTGGGCCAGAGCTGCTGGGTGGTGCAGAGGGAAAGGGACACTTCACTCTGGGGTCTGGACAAAGCTTGAGCTTCCCGCCTCCCCCGAGAGCCGACAGCTCTAGCACAGTGAACGCTGGTTGCCAACACACAGACAGTATTGTCTCGATATCAAGATGTTTTCAAATAAGAAAGTCAAAATAGCGGTGAGTCACACTGAAGGTCTAAGCACATGAGACCTTTCTCCTCCCCCACTGTAAACCTGCAATTTGCTAGGAATCTCACAAGAAATGCCGTTTACAGTCAAAGGAATGTCTTAAGCCCCTTTCAACTCCTGTGACCCATGGTTTTGTTAGATTGTTTCCCATCCAAAGAACCCCAAGAACTACCCTGTAACCCCACTTATTTAAAAAGAAGGGAAAGAAAGTTTCTTAGAGACCTTTTGAGATGTCACCCTAGAACCATCAAAATCGAAAACATGGCTTCTGCTGAGGCACTTGCTCGAGACTTTAAGCATCCACATTTGAGCGCGCCATCTCCTTCCCTACAGGGTCTCTCTTTCTGCTGACCTCATGCTCAAAGTCTCTTTTTAAGTAAAAATCCAGCTGTGCTTCAGATGGGCTCATCCTGAATCCTTTCGTGCAACAAAGTCAAGAATCTGAGCTGAGTAGAGAGAATCTCTGAGTAGAGAGAGGGCTTTTAAAAATGCTCAGACGGGAGTCTCTGGCCTCCGCTAGCCCTGCTTGTGACGTCACCTGTAGTGACGTCACCTGTAGTGACATCACCTTGCTTCCAGCACCCTCCTTCCTGCCAGCTCAGCTCCTGCAAGGCTCTTAGCTACCCTGGTCCCCTGCATCCCAGAGGGAAAGTGTGACCGGCCCTACTTGGCAAACGAGTAAACTGAAGCTGGGAGTCAAACTCTCCAAAGCCAGTGAACGAGGCTTTTACTAGACTGGCAGAACTGTTTCTGCAGGCCTGGCCTGAGTCATCAGCAGCTGAGGCAGACCCTGAAGATGGCACACTGGAGAAGAGAGCGCGCAGGTGCGTGTGCGTGTGCGTGTGCGTGTGCATGTGCGTGTGCGTGTGCGTGTGTGTGTGTGTGTGTGTGTGTGTGTGTGTGTGTGTGGCACAGGGCCATGGAGGAGGCTGACGTGACTGTATGTGGCAGAGGATGTACAGCTCATGGACAGGCTCTTTGGGGCCAACTGCTTGCCTTTCCTGCTTGGAGGAGACAGGAAGAGGGTATACATCCCATCCCCTCTTCCGATTCAGAATAGCTTCTTATGCTGGAAGGAGGAGGCAGAGGCAGGAGCATGATGGCCTTGGTGAGGCTTTGTCTTTTTAGCCGGATGCTTTCTCTCCCTGTCTTTTTGTGCACTTGGACCATTTCAACAAACATTGAAAGTGCCCAAAGGAATGCAAGGAAACCAAGCTGGAGCCGAGGAGGAGGACCAGGGAGGCTTTATGAGTTTATCAAGCTGAGCAAATGGACAAGAATGCTGGCAAGGAGCAGCCTATGCCAGGCTGACGGACACTGCTGGCCCCCCTCCCCATCCTCTCCCTCGGAGATCAAGTCATACCTCTGTAGAGCTTTCTGAGGGAGGTGCCCACAGCTGCTCAGAAACGATCTTCCTTCACCCCTGCATGGTGGTCCTTCCTGCTGTGTGCTATAGCCCAGTGGAGGCTGGGTTGGAGTCAGGAGTAGGGGTCCACCAGGCTCTGCTGGCCTAACTTCCTGAGGGAGGTGGCTGTACTTCCAGCTTTAAGGGTCCCTAGGTATCTCTTTATCCTGAGACCCCACCAAATATTTTCAGGTTTCACTTTACTTTGTCTTTACTGGACAAATTTATTATAATCCCCACTTCGCAGATGAGCAAATTGAGGCTCAGGGAGTTTTTTTTTTTTTTTTTTTTTTTTTTAAAGGGTTCTGTGTAAGTGGAGAGACCTGAGCTGACCTGGGTACCTGACTCCAATGTCAATTCCCTGCCTTCTCCAGGCTCCAAGGTGATGTTTCCTGGGAGACATGCCCTGCCTGTGGATCAATCTTTTTGATCTCGACACTTCAGTGCCCCCTCCTGTGACAGAAAACAGAACCAGAGAGGCCAAGCTATTGCCAAGACAGGAGGCAAGCATGCAGCTGGAAGTCAGTCACAAGCCATCCTGTGGCCGAGGCAAGGATGGAGTGTTACAGTTGGGACCCCCAGGCATAGGTCTGACTCCCTGGATTTCAAGCCTTCACATCTATGAGAAATTGGCCTTGGCTTAAAGCATGGCTCTCATCTGATCTTATGTTTCCTGCCATGTGATCTTGGATGGGCCATCCCATCGCCTGGTGCCTCAGTTTCTTCGTCATTGACAATCTCATCTCCTAGGGCCACTGTGAGAATGAAATGCTAAAATCTATACCAAGTACCCAGCGCAACTGTGTGGTACACAGAAAGTGCCCAGGAAATGTCAACCTTAATTTCTCCTGTCCTTATCTTTTGGTTATGCTGGGAGGCAGGGAGTGAGATGATTTCCACTTCCTAGAGAAGCCAAATATAGGTGATTTCCCCCAGGGTCCCACAGCCAGCCAATGCACCCTTAGGACACGCTCCTCATCACAACTTCAGCTGCTCCGGGCCCTGGGTAGCCCTTAAGGCCAACACAGGTATATTCCAGGGCCACTCCGAGGCTGAAATAACTGAACGTGGCTGAGGTTGAGGTGACCGAATGTCTCAGAGGAAGTACAGCTCATGGGCACGTCTGGGGCTTACATTTCCTGCTCTCGGGAGATGAGGAGGATATACATCCTAGCCTGAGCACTCTAGGCATTGGAAGAGAGGGAGCTAGACACACGTGGCCCTGGCCCACAGGCTGACTGGCCAAGCCACACGAACAAATAAACCTGTCCCTCTGGGGCAGGACGTGCCTTAGGCCACCGCTGTTCTTGCCTCCAGTTGAATATCAGCCAATTGCTCATCCCCAGGCCAGGACTTCTGGAGCAGCAGTTTTTAAGCCCTTCTTGGAAGAATCATCCTGTTCCTCTGAGAGGCAGGGGCCATTTGCTCCACCCCATCCCCCGCGTCGACTGCCCAGAAAGCCAGCGGAGAGGTTAGGAAATCAACCCCAAGCTATTTCATTCGGCAACCAAGATTTATTTCTTGTGGCAA